TCAACCCAGGCCATTCTATGATTCTACAAAAACCAAGATTTACTTAATTCTCTAGTGGGAGTTTCCTTCAGAGGAAAGGCTAGAGTTGCTACAGTTAATACTCAAGTCCATACAGGTACATTTGTCACAATGCGGGATGAAGGAAGAAACAGAAGATGGACGCAGTAAAACAGAGATGGTCATATTTGAGTTATTTTTTTACCTACTGTTAGAGGACTTAATGGCATAGAATTTAGCTTTGGTGAGGGAAGGGACATTACTGTCACTTCACATTTTCTGGGTTTGAGACTTGCAGAGCTACCCTGAAACTTTTTGAAGGGCACAGGCCTGTTAATTCTATAGCAAGTTCTTGTGTGGAAGCAAATTAAAAAAAAAGTTAAAAATAGTATGGTTCTTTAGTAAAGTTAGTTTTTTTATTTTCAAGGTCTAGATTGAAGAAGGACTATGATGACTTTAAAAGACATCCAGACCATGATAAATTTACCAGAGAATTGTGGAGTAATGATGAAAGTGAAGTTGATTCTGGGAAAGATTCTTTTGCAGTAATTCACTCTTCAGAGTCTGCAGAACATGTGGAAGTTCCCAAAAAAGATCCGCCAGACAATGGTAAGCATTTACTGGAATTTGGTAGCTTGAACTGGATTCAGGAGCTGAATCAAGTTGATTCAGGAGTTTAATTTTTCCATGTGACCTTGTGTCCTGCTTTTTCCCTTAACTACTACTGTGATAATATTGAAATAGCTTGTGATGCATATCTGGTGGATGTATACTAGAAGGGGGCAGACGTGACCAAGAAGAAAGTTCTGATTAATGCAAGTTTTTGCCATTTTTGTGCGCAATTGTTTCAATTATAACATAGACCTGCTCAGAATTTATGTTTATGGTGGGCTGACCTTGACTGGCTGCCGGACGCCCACCCAGCTACTCCCCTTCCTTAACTGGACAGGAAGAGAAGATAGGAAAGCTCATGGGTCCAGATAGAGCCAGGGAGATGAGTCACTAGTTACTGTCACAGGCAAAACCGACTCACTTTAGGAAAATTAATTTTATTTATTTCCAATTAAAAATAGAGTAGGATGGTGAGAAAGAAAGACAAAAATGAAAATGCCTTCCCCCCACCCCATCTCCACCTTCTTCCAAGACTCAACTTCATTCCCAATTTTTCTACCTCCTCCCCTGTCAAGTGGCACAGTGGGGTGGGAACTGGGGGATTGAGGTCGGTTCATAACACTTTGTCTCTGCTGCTTATTCTTCACACTTTTGCTCTGCTGCAGTGCGAGTTCCCTCCCATGGGATACAGTCCTTCATGAACTGCTCTAGCATGGGTCCTCTCCACAGGCTAGAGTCCTTCAGGATAAGACTGCTCCGCTGTGAGTCCCCCATAAGCCACAGCTCCTGTAAGGAGCCTGCTCCACTGTGGGGTCTCCATGGGCTGCATCCTCCTTCAGGGCCTATTCATGTGCTGTGGCATGAGGTCCTCAACAGGCTGCAGTGTAGATACTGCTCCAGCATGGTCCTCCATGGGAGGGGGTCAACCTACTTCACCATGGTCTTCACAAGATTTTATAGCGGAATCCCTTTCAGTACCTGGAGCACCTCTTTCCCCTCCTTGGTGTCTACAAGGTTCCTTCTCCTACATTTTTTCCTCACTCTTCTCTGTCGCACTCTTTTATGCAGCATTTTCCATGAGGCATCACTAGCTTGGCTGATGGGCTCAGCCATGTCCTGCAGTGGATCTGTTTTGAAGCCAGCTGTGTCTCACACAGGGCAGCTCCTGTCCCCTCCTCACAGAGGCCCCCCTGCAGCGCCCTGCACTGCCAAAACCTTGCCAAAACCTCTGTCCACTCAGCACCTGTGCCTGCATCCTAGGTCCTCTTACCCACTTCGTGCATCCCCTGCTCACTGGCTGGCCCAGCACCATAGTCAGTGTGAAACGTGGCACTCACACCCTTGTCCCACAGGCACCCCACACTCAAGCCCGCCTGATATGCCAGCCCAGACCCCAGGCCTCCCTGTTCACTGGCTAATCTGGCTTGAAGTTTGCTAGTGAATAAACACACACTGCCTCCATGCACACTGGGCTTGGGGAAGGCACAGGCACTCACGCCCCAGCAGCAGGGTCACACACTGTGACCTCCTGCTGTGTCCTTGCAGCTCACCCTTCCTCTGCAGATGCTTCATGGGTTTGTATAGCTCAGTTGATTCGGTCACCCCTCCCAGTCCAGTGGCCAGGATCTCCCCTGTTTCACATTCATGCCAGTTGTAAAGTCCAGGTTGATAGCCCTGGAAGGGGTGCCTGCAGTTTCTTTAGAGCCCATCAATTGGTGTGATTGGTGAGGTTGTTTCTTGTCATTGTCTCCGTGTTTGTTTTGTTAGATCTGTCTCTGTATATTTTTTTCTGGCTTCTCCCTTTTTCCCCTCTATTTCCCAATTAACCAGGTCCTTGCTGAGATAACATCGCTGGAATAAATGTTCTCAGGCTCTCACATGCCTTCAATTAGTGTGAATGACCAGGTTTGGTTTTCTTCTCTATATGTCCTGCTGGTCAGGTTTCTGTCCCTGTATGTTCTTGTTTATGACTTCCTCCTTTCCCTGTTGCCCCCTTTTTGCATTGAAAAATGTCCTTGACCAGATATCCTTAAAGAAGCAGACGTTCTCCTTCCACATATTCTTACACATGCAAACTGGCATTTTCCATTTACCTAGGCACTATAAAATTATTATATAGAGTTATCAGTTGCAAATGTATAAAACAGTTTCTGTTTTAATATCCTTGCAGATGAAACAAAACTATTAGAGATGAATTTACCTTCAGGAAAAAACAGAATTCTGAAAAAAGAATCAACTTCTAAAGAAATACAGAAGACAGTGCTCAGATGTGTTAAACGACAGTCCAAGCAAAATAGTTGTCTGGATCAAAGCGCTAAAGAGCCTTCACCAAGGAAGAAAGCTAAGCTGAGCACTAATGAGGCTGTGGTCCAGAGTTCAGAAAGTAGCCTGAAGCCAAATAGTTGTTTGACTGAGCTGAAACAATTTGAAGGGTCAACTCTAGAATCATTTTCTTTCACAGATTCTGCAACATCAGCATCAAACTTTCTGAAAGGGACCAAACCCATCCAGGCCTTGCTTGCCAAGAATACTGGGAACAAAGTGACCTTAACAAATCAACTGCCACCTCCCCCAGGCATAAATGTATCTACTTCTGAAAAGCCACTTTTATCGCCTTTGGAATCATCACTGATAAAACCAGCATTGCCCTGCCAGACCAGTTCAAAGACTTCTTTGCAGATGGTGTACAAAATGCCAAATGGCCACTGTTTACCAATAGACCTTCATAACAGCTCTGTGAAAATTCAGATGCAACCTGTGATTGACCCTAAAACTGGAGAAAAAGTAATGCAACAAGTTCTTATTTTACCTAAGAATTTTTTTATTCAGCAGAAGGAAGGAAAAATTACATCACTACAACAGAAATCATCTGAGCTGCACTGTACAGCTGTACCAGAAATATCCAATGTCAGTGGTTCTTTAACACCTGTTTTAGTAACAGGCCCTGCAAATGCTATCACTCAGTCACCTAGTACAATTTTTAACAAGAATACTACCCATTTGTCACAAGTGACTGGTCCCATGAACACTACACAACCATTGCCTGCTGTAACTTCATCAGATAACTTTTTATCATCAACATTTAAGGTGAGCGAAACTGAAACTGACAAAGTCAAGACTACAGTTTCAACTGCTACGTTCCCTGTGTCTTTGACTTCACCTACTCTTTCCACACCTAGCCAGTCTTTGATAGCAGCAACAGCATTAAATGAGTCTACAAACACTGCTTCTGCCTGTCATAGTCTGGTATCACAGCAGACAACTGACTCCTTTGAAAGTAGACAAGAGCTGAAGACAGTGTGCATAAGAGAATCGCAATCTATTCTGGTCACAACACGAGGTGGAAACACAGGAATTGTTAAAGTGCGAACAAACCCAGACCAGATCTCACCTGGTAGTTTGTCATCTAGTTCAGTTTTCACTTACACACCTCAACTTAAGGCCTTTCTTGTGCCAAAAACTGCAGCATTGTCATGCTCTACTCTTCCTTCTGTGGCAACAGCAACATCTGGCCTTCCGCATATTGGACAATCATGTCTTTCTGGATTTACCACTTCAACAGTTTCTTCTGTTAACATTCCACCTTTCCCAGCTGATTTTACCCAGGCAATGCAGAAGAATATCAAAATCACATTACAGCAGCCTGCTGTTGGGGGCACTTTGGGTCAAGTAGTAGAGAACTCCTGCTATGTGTCCTCTCCTTCTTTATCCTCCATTTCATTAGCTGGCAATTTGATGTCAGCAGCTCCGAACAGTCCTGTTAGTGTGACTAGCATTGGACAAAATAACACTGTCGTAACTCCAGATTCTTTTGTGCAGCAACAAGGTGATGCCAAAACTAAACCAAATCCTGTTATACAACGTGAGTCTAATTCAGCAACAAATGGAGATGTAATTGGTGGTACTCCAGTCCAGAAACTTACATTAGTCACAAATACACCTGTTTTATCACCCTGTGGGGCATCAGGAGTCAGTATTATACCGTCTCCGGCATCCACTGCTGCTAATGCTCAGAAGTTGGTTTTCATTAACACACAAATTACCAATGGCCCATCAGCCACCAATCTAGTTGCAGAGTCATTGAAATATAACCTTCCTTCTTCCCTAAGCAAAACCTTTGTTAGTACCACAGAGCAACCACAGTTGGTTCTGATCCCATCTACAGTAGGAGCACCAATAAGAATAAATACTTCACCAACTATTGCTCAAGTAAAAGATGTGAAAATTGGTCTAAATATAGGTCAAACCATTGTAAATACTAAAGGCAATGTACAACAGTCTCCACCAGTTAACATATTGCATTCTGGCATTTCTAAGGGAGAAGGCAAAAGGAGCATGGGCTTGGCGCTGTCTTTGACAAGTAGTAGTACTTTGGTTCCTATTCCAAGTTTTGTGAATCAAAGTGCTGTGTCAGTTAATGAACCTGCATGTGTTGCAACAAAAGCTGAAAATGCCTTTACGGTAACGACAGTAAATGCATGTGTAGAATCTGTTTCCGTAACATCAAGTGGGGCTTCTGGGACGCGGTCCACTGTCTTGATTGGTGGAAGTGATGCCTCAAGAGTAAGGCCAGTTCTGGGTAATCAACTATGTACATCAAATATTGGAAATACTGTGGGTCTATCAACTGTGAAAACAGGACATCTTGCTTCATCTGTGCTGATTTCAACAACACAACCAACAGTGTCTCCTCAAAACTTAGCATCTGCTTTGCAATTTCCAGTCATTAGCTTGCCTGGATCCGTAGCCACCCCCCACAGAGCGTTACATACAATTCCTCAGTCGGCAGCTGTTCCAGCTCCTCCTCCAGTACTGAAAAAACAGTTGCCCACACTGCTTCAGTTTCAATCATCAGGAGTTTCAACTGCTCTGACAAGTAATGCAGGTATTCACAAACCTCAGAGTGTCTTGCCCCCTCCATCACCAAATACATGTAAAGTCATTAGTTTTCCCAGTTTTTCTTCCCTGCAGTGCCAGCAGATGCCTCCCAGTACAGAGAAACAAAGTCATGTTTACACTTGTGCTTCTACCATTCTGATGTCTGCAGCTTCACCAACTGTAACAAGCAAGGCAGGTCAGTTGAATGAACCTTGCATTCAACAGAAAATAGTCATTAACACTTGTATGCCTTTGGCACCTGGAACTCAGATAATGATTAATGGTACTTGTTTTGTTGTTCCATCACAAGGCCTTGGAGCTGGCAGCCATGTTCTCCTTCTCTGTTGTAATACAAAACAGACTCCTCCTTTAACTATTAACCATGGTCAGGAGGCTCAAGGTGTACCAATTGTTAATCCAATAACCTCAGAAATCATGCTGGCACCAAGTAATTCATTAAGTTGTCAAATATCAAAACATCCTTTGAAAAGCTCTACAAAAACTGTGAACTCTTTTGGGTCTTCAGATGCCTTACCCATCGTACATACAACATCCCAGATATTTAGTACTCCAGCTAGCTCATGTACTCCACTGTCTGGAGCGACACTGTCTGTGTCTTCAGTGATAAAATCTCCCGTTAATGTTGTAGCTACATCTTCTGTGGTTTCTGCCATTCATCCTCCAAATTCTCGTTTACCAGGCAACACTTCAGTGTTTCACTTAGACACTTCTATCAAAAAACTCTTGGTCAGTCCAGAAGGAGCCATTTTGAATGCCATAAATACTCCAGCATCAGAAGTTTCTTCTCTGTCTTCATCACTGCCTCCTGTTGTGTCTACAAGCAGAAATCCTACCACTGTCTTCCCTGCATCTCAGTCATCTTGCCTTGATAAACCTGACAAAGCTGCATCCTGAATTTGCCACAAATGAGCCACTTTGAAGTTTTGGGGCATTCTTCTGACTTTGGAAGGTGTAACTATTGAATAATTTCTTACATTGCTTGAAACAGTTGATTTACTCAAAATTACTTAAGATTATAGTTCTTTCCTTTTTACTTTTGGGGCTTAGGAGGAAGGAAGATTTTATTTAGTTTGTCAGAGAGACGTTTTAAGGGAGTTCTTTAGTAAAAAGATCAAAAATGACTGATGAGTTCCTTAGACATTTTAGTTTGGAGAAATCTAGCCTTTTGCACATGTTCCATCTTACAGTATGGACTTTTGCCAGTGTGTTTATGACAGTACATATCTCCTTTTTATTTGTCAAATATATTTTTGATTTTTTTCTGTTAAAAAAAAAGTATTTATGCATTGTAAAAATGCAGTCTATGGTATAGAATTGTACATATTCATGAATTCCTAACAATCTGTACTAAACTATATGTACAAAGAACGATGCTGTCTTATTTATGTTTTGTTTACATAATGTATAGGTTTTTTAAGTATTTTAGTAACTTTGGACCAGTGTACTGTTTAGCAACAATGCAGAAGAATCTGCATACAATAAATTAAATTGCTGTACTGCTTTGCGTTGGCGAGAGTTTGAAAATGTGTCTCTCTATTACCTTATGCCACAATACATATATTAACATCTTCCTTCTTAATGCAGATGCATCTTAGCTTTTACAATATAGTGGAATTATATTGTTTAATCTCTTCTGCTCTTCTTTGTGGCTTACATTTCACATTATTTTATAGGCCATCTTGTTCATCCTCCTGATACAGAGCAGGATAACTCATACTTCATCTATAACTTGGTAAATGTTTGGTTATATTGCCTAAAATCTCCAGTGATGTGATAAGACAAGAAATGGTTTCCCAGTCTAAATCACACTGGTTGCTGTACAGGACTACCATGTTTTGTCATAAAGCTCATAGATCTGTTGAACAGCTCGTTATTCCCTTTTTTACAGCCTTGTATGCATGGCCACCTATCTGGTAGCTGTGACAAGGTCACTCTTTAATCTTCTGGCTGACCATCACAAGCTACCCAGTTCTTTCACCAGTCATGCTTTCTAGACCTGTCTTTTTTTCTTTAGCTTTTAATTGGTCTGTCTGGAAGGATAGGGACATGGATTTGACAGAAGGACCACTCACTGGATAAGCAGTTGGCTACACGGCCACACTCAAAGAGTTGTGGTCAATGGCTCAACGTCCAAGCGGAGACCGGTGACAAGTGGTGTTCCGCAGGGATTGGTACTGGGACCAGTGTTGTTTAACATCTTTGTCGGAGACGTGGGCAGCGGGGTGGAGTGTACCCTCAGCAAGTTTGCCGAAGACACCAAGCTGTGTGGTGTGGTGGACATGCTGGAGGAAAGGGATGCCATCCAGAGGGACCTGGACAGGCTGGAGAGGTGGGCCAATACAAACCTCATGAAATTTAACAAGGCCAAGTGCAAGGTCCTGCACGTGGGTCGAGGCAATCCCAAGCACAAATACAGGCTGGGAGGAAAATGGCTTGAGAGCAACCATGAGAAGAAGGACTTGGGGATGTTGGTTG